AGTGCAGAAGGCAAGATCTCAACCGAATCAGAGGAGGTGGTCGAGGTAGCAGGATCTGAAAACAAAAGAAGAGAGAAACAATATCAAAAAAGAGAAGAAGGGTAGGAGGAGAAGGTTTTAGAAATGAGGGTTCCGCGAAAAGGGGCTATTTTGAAGAAAGGGAACAGAGATTCCGAGAGGATTTTAAAGGGGAAGAGCTAAATCTACAACAATCAACAGACAAACACCAAAATTCAATGCACAAATTCAAAACACCCAATCAGAAAACCTCAGATGCCCAATTCAACAACGAAAAGAGAGAAAAATTTCGCAAAACACAAAGCCAAGATACAGGAAATATAAAATCAGGAGAAAAACAACTTACTCATAATCACGGAGGAGAGAGTCGGGGAAAACTTGAAGATGGCAGGAAAAATTGCTGACGGAAGCTAGGATTTTTGCAGAGAGAACTTTGAATGCAAAGGAGTTTAGGGAAGACGAAGGTGGAAAAAAGTCTGAAATTTCGCTAAGTACGGGTTTTATACTTGGGGAAAATTAAAAGGGGAAGAAGGAAGACCGTCGGATTAAAGCTAGATCGTGCGGCGGGGATATTAAATGGCACGGTACTCCAAGCGGGCGCGTTAGGCGAGGGGGCGTCATCATTAAAGCATCTGACACACACGAAAAGGTGGGACGCGTGGCGAAAAAGTGGGCGCGACAAGAAAGACATGGGACAGGCAACTTTATTGCTGGAAATTAATGAAGAATTATTCAAAAGAATAGGCGTGAAACCCTTCAACTTGTCGACACCCAATGATGGGCCACCCAGAAGATCGATAAGCATGAACTCACTCTTAGATCGAGTCATTCAGACTCGACCAGAGTGGGGGGGGGACTAGATGATATAGGATATTATCTGTACAAAGACTAACCGATTTGGTGAGCCGGTCGAGAAGAGCAGACCGGGAGCAAACCAAGCCGAAAGGCGGGAATCCAAGGGATCGAGCAGCCCCAGGGCTCGACCACACAAGCGATCGAACAACCCAAAGCTCGACTACACTGGCGTTCGAGTAGCCTGACGCTCGATCAGACTGCTCGAGTTACCCATCAATCGATCAGATGAGTGATCGAGCAAGCTGAGTGATCGAGCAAGCTGATCAACATGAGTCCAGACGCGTGTATAGCAGACGCGCGTGAGGGTCTCTGACTGAGCTTCAGGAGAATATTTACCCCATGTGCCGGGTGGACACGTGTCGACAATATATTGGGTGATAGCGATAACCACCTCTGACAACGCCCAAACGTCCCGCGGCACCTCTGACATGTGCGCGGCGTGTCAGAGTACGGACGGGCAGCTTGGGCAGTACACGTATCCTTATCCGGGCAGCTATTAGGGCAGGTATCTCACCCCTATAAAAAGGGGATGAGCTTTTCTTCCTTAACACATTCTATTCATTCTCTAAATTCCAGTATACTCGTACACATACTGACTTAAGCATCGGAGGCTCTTCACCGGATCCAACCCCCGGTGTGAGAGTTATTTGCAGGTTCTCGGCGTTCTACCGGCAAGGACAAGAATCGATCTACTCCAAACCGGACCCGGACGCTTACACTTGCATTATATGCTGACTACAAATATCTTGGGAAAAGAATGTTAGATACTCTGAGGGACAATCCTGGTGAGACTTTGGTAAGTCTGAAAATAAAATCAAGAGGCATTATGGGGTAGATGTCAGTATGCACAAGGTCTACAGAGCCAAGGTGTATGCCCTTTCTCTGTTGAAGGTTGACTATAAGGAACAGTATAAGAGGCTATATGACTACTGTTCTACAGTAGTCAAGTACAATCCTGGTAGTTCTCTAATACTGAAGGTGAACAGTGACTTTTCTCCTCCAAAGTTCATGAGGATGTATGTTTGTTTATCTGCAATGAGACAGTCATTTTTGACTGGCTGTAGGCCAATTATAGGACTGGATGGATGTTTTCTGAAGACAGTTCATGGTGGTCAACTTCTTTCAGCAGTTGGTAGGGATGGCAATGACAATATGCTACCAATAGCAATGGCATATGTTGAAATTGAGAAGACAGATTCTTGGAGGTGGTTCCTTGAAAGACTACTAAGAGATTTAGATCCATACAGGGAGAGAAAGTGGACTTTTGTTTCAGATAGACATAAGGGTTTGCTTGAAGCTGTGAGTGAAATTGAGGGGGCAGAGCACAGATATTGTTTGAAGCACATGTAAAATAATTTCAAGCAGAAGTGGGAGGATTTAGAATTGAGGAAATGGTTTTGGAAGGCAGCCAGCACATACAATGTCAAGGAGCACCTCAGATGCATGAGTCAGATCCAAAAGCTTGTTCCTAAGAAGGATGACAAGGTATTTTTCTCCTTACACAAACCTGCTATATTTTTCTCCTTGCAAACCTACTGTATAATATGTGTTCATGCTGCAAACCTTCTGCAAACCTGCTACATTTATCTGAACAACCTGCTGTGTTTTTTTTAATAATAAGTGCATGCTGCAAACTTGTTGTACTTATCTGAACAACCTGCTATAATGTGTTCCTGCTGCAAACTTGCTATATTTATATGAACAACCTGCTGTATTTTTTTGAATAATATATATGTTCATGCTTTTATTCATTTCTTGGTTTCCTCCTGAATATTCTGAACAACTTTGTGTTCATGCTTGGTTTTGTTGTAGGTGCTTTTTACTTTGTGTTCATGCTTTTTACTTGTTGCAAATCATGGTGTTGCTGTAGGTAGTTTGTACTTAGTTGTTCATGTTTTATTAAAATATGGTTTATTTGCTGTAGGTAACTCCATTTGAATGGTTGAAGGCTGTCCCTGAAGAACACTGGGCAAGGTGTTTCTTTTCTTCTAATGCGGTGTGTGATGTGCTAGTTAATAATATTTCAGAGTCCTTCAACAACTACATTTTGGAAGCTAGGGATATGGCTATTGTGGACATGTTTGAGTGCATCAGAAGGAGAATGATGGCAAGAATCCAGGTGAAGAAAGCTGGAATAGAGAAGTACACAGAGGACATTTTTCCTAATACAGTGAGAAAAATTGAAGAGCAAAGGGAAATCAGTAGGAATTGTTTCCCTACTTGGGCTGGAGAAGACAAGTATGAGGTGGTTCATGGAGTAAACAGCCATATAGTCCAATTGGGAGCAAGAAGGTGCACTTGTGGTATGTATTGTAACACCCCAAACTCATGTCATTCATTTTATGCTTAAGTATTATTTTTCATGGATATTATTTATGTTTAATTTAATGATTTATAATGTTATTTTTATTTTTATTGTAAGCTCGATTTTATGTGATATTTAAGTGAGTGTCCACACTTATTTAATTGTCAAGTCAATGATTAAAAAGGGAATTATTTAGATGTCCTCATCTATTTAATTTTCCCGAGTATTAAATGCAATAATGTTAATATGATTTTAATTATGAAATGGCTTAATTTAATTAATATAATTTTTAATATAATAATGAAGATAATAATTATTAAGATGATAAATTGAGCTCAAATAACAGTCCAATTTTCCCAAGTCAGATGAAAGCTCAAGACTTCACGATGTTTTATTCCTCATCCAAGCAATAAGAGTCCTAGCCTATATCAATTACCTAGTTCTATTGTGCAAGAACTCTTGTTGTATATGGTACCAATCCCACACATTAAATATCTCTCATCTCTCTCGGCACTCTCTCTCTTTTAACCTCTCACGCCGAACCCTCTCTCTTCTCTCCCTCTCTCGCTTTTCATCGTCAATCACCATCAGAACTGTATCCGATCATCGTCACCATCACCACCCATAAGAGAAGTTCCTCTCCAGCAGTCCGGCGATCATCACCCTCCCTGCGACCAAGTTCTGCACCATCATCATCACTCAAATCACTGCCCTTTCTCTGCGTTTTCCGGCGATTTGCGCAGCAGTGAGCAGCCCTCCATGAAGCAACGCTGTCGGGACCCGAGGAGTTCTGTCGGAGTACCCATCGTAGCCGTCGAGTCCCGTCGAGTTCCGTCGAAGCGTTAAACGTAGCCGACGCAGTCCGCCGCGTCCCAGCCACCGTGAAGCAGCACCTCTGCAGCCTTTCATCACCGCGAGCTCCGCCGTCGCAGCTCCTCCCCACGCCAAGCAGACCCCAGCCCTCAGCCACCATTCGCAGCCACCACCTACGTCAAGCAGCACCACCATCGGCCCCTTGTTCGCGACTCCGACGATCCGCGGCCACCGCAGCGAGCCCACAGCCACCGTGAACAGCCACCTTCACCGCCGTCTCCCCCAGTCGCAGCCTTCTCCATCAATAGACCACCGCTCCTCAGCCACGAACAGCCCCTCCACGTACACGGCCAAGTTCAACCAAGCCCTCTTTTGAACCGTTAGCCTTTTCCCGAGTGGTAAAACCCTATTGCTTACCCTCTTGGACTGTTATTTTTGAATTCGATTAACTTACGTAAGAATTATTAATGTGTTAAGATTTGATAATTGCACCTCGTATGCTTGCTTAAGGTCCGAGTAAATAATTTTGAGTTATATGATGAATTTGAATTGGTCGGAGCCTTGTCGGGCTTCCGAAAGAATTGATTGAATGATATGTGAATAGGGTTAGTTGTTGTCAATGTATGTATTGTTGATCATGTTTTATTATGTTATGAACGTGCCTAGAACCCATGCTTTAGGTTGCTTTCGAGATGATACGAAGTTCGGATAAAATTGGTATGATTTCATGTGTAATTGTTGTTTCTGTGCTGTCTGTTCGGGAGCAGTTTAGGCCCCTGAGATTGTGTTTTCGGTTTTCGAGTTCTTCATATGATATGTAGTTCGTTCAGTTTTATTTACATGAGCTTTAGAATCATGCAATTTCGATTTAAAACGAATAAGTTATGATTTTTACAAAATTGTTGCGCGAGCAGTTTTTCTTAAATCCGGCTGCAGTTAGGTTTAGATGTTTTGTGTGTTTAGGATATGATAATGTACTCAAATAAACCTGAAGTCTTCATTGAAATTGTAGTTTTATGTGTTATCTTTCATGTGGTTCTAGAATCAAGCAAAAATATGGTCCGAGTAGTGAATGATACCTGTTTTCGTAAAACTGCGCATGAATTTATTTTAAATTTCTGGGCAGCATTTCAGCTTTGAATGTTTGCTGGTTTTGGACCATGTATATGACCTTATTTGCTTTTGAGTGCTAAATAAAAGTTGTAGTACCATGTCTAAGGAGCAATATGAGACTTGAATAATATTAATGCGACTTGTATGTTGAAAGATATGCTCGTTTTAAAAATGCAGCACGTGTTAAGTTTTATCAAAGGACTAAGTGTAATTGTTTAAGTGAGTCTTATGTTTATTAAGCAT